ACGCACATGCACACGCACATGCACACACACACACACACACTTGTCGGTCGCCGCGGGCTGGGCCTGGCTGCAGGCTGCTCGGCGGTGAAGCGGGCGCGCGCGCGCGCCCGCGAGTCAGTGGAAGCGGGCTTAGGTCGGGCATGTCCGCCTACGAGCGGATTTTGGGCGAACAAGAATCCGTTCAAACGAATTGACCAGTCAAAGCTATAAAAAATGTGTCCCCAGGCTATGTTTGAATAGTTTTACGTTTTCTTCCTGTAGTGGGACATGCCCGACTTGAGGCTAGGCCTTCCAGGGGCAGTGGCGGGGCAAGGGGGGATGAGGAGGAGGAGGAGGAGAAGGAGCAGCAGGAGGAGGAGGAGGAGGAGGAGGAAAGGACGAGGAGGAGGAGGAGGAGGTGGAGGAGGAGGTGGAGGAGGAGGAGGAGGAAGAGAAGGAGGAGGTGGAGGAGGAGGAGAAGAAGGAGGGTTAGAAGGAGGACGAGGAGGGGGGGCCCGCGGCCGCGGCGCGGGTTTGCGCCGCGGCGGCAGGGGGGGGGGGGAGCGGCAGCGGGGCGGGGCGGGGACCGCCAGACGGGCGGCCCGTGGGGTTGAGTCGGGCATGCCCCTCGACAGCAGGAACATTAAAAAAGTATGGTACGATTCAAGGGGCCCAAGAACACACAAATGAATACACACAGATCAAAGGTTTCCCCATATGTTCCCATATGTTCTGGATTTTTGTCGTCCCCCCACTTCCAATATTTTCCAATATTTTCCTGGGGGTCGACGATTAATTGTGTCTGTGTGTTTTTTTCCTCCTGAACGATTGTCTCACTATTAGACTGGCTTGTGAACATTTGTGGGATCTGCATTATTGTTCGTCCAAGCCCCGTTTTCGTGTTGTTTCCGTTTTCCCTCTTTTTGTCTTCAATTCGCCTTTACCGCAAGACGAAATCGAAACGGAAACGGCCCACGAAATCGCCAAAACACCGTTAAGGTCCAGCCCTGTGGTACGATTGTCTCACTATTAGACTGGCTTGTGAATATTTTTGGGATCTGTATTCTTTTTCGTCCAAGCCCACGCCTGCAGGAGGACAATGCCCGACCTAACCACGCGGGGGAGCAGCGAGGCAGCCGCGGGCGGCGGTCGCAAGAGTGGCTATGCCTACCAGGCCACCCCAACCGAACCAGAAGACACGATTTCAAGGGGCCCAAGGACACACAAACAAATACACAGAAATAAAATGATTCCTCATATGTTTTCCGTATTTTCTGGGTTTTTGTCTTCCCGCCCAAATTCCATATTTTCCCATATTTTCTGGGGAATCGACGATTAATTGTGTCTGTGTGTTTTTCCATCTCGTGACGATTGTCGGGTTCCAAGACCCCCTCGAGTGATGAAAAAATCATGACGGGAGGCTTTTCGCCAGTTTCGGTCTTCGGAAGCCCTTACCAGGCCACGGGGCCGTCAAAAACGACTCGGGGGTCGACGTTATGAACAAAATCATGACGTCGGGGATCTGGGTTGTGAGGGGTACGGGATCCATCCGCATTCTCTCCATGTTCCCTGGACCCACCCCCCGCCCCCCCGGGACGTGGAGGGCGAATTGAGGGCCTTCGGGTTGGGTTGGGGTGGTCTGGTGGCTTGTGATAGAGGGCGACCGCCGGGCGGTCATCGGGGCGCGGAGCTGGCCCGACGCAAGGCGGGGGGCCAGAGCTGCGAGCCACCGCGGGGCGGCAGCAGACCGCGGCCCGCCGGCAGGCCCGTAGACTAGGGGTCCAGATGCGAACCCTACCCCTACCCCCCACGATTTCTGAGGGGGAGGGTGGGGTTCACTTCACTCGGGAGCTCCCGAGTGAAGTGAACCCCACCCTCCCCCTCAGAAATCGTGGGGGGTAGGGGTAGGGTTCGCATCTGGCCCCCTATAGAGGACCCTGCTTGCGAGAGCGCAGCGAAGGGCCAGGGCAAGACCGGCGGAAGGCCTGGCGAGGGCCCAGAGGGCCACCTCGGGGGCGAGCCGACGGAAGGACCGCCCCACGGAGCCCCGGGCGAGATGCCGCAAGGCGTGCGCGGCGGAGGGCCGCAGCGCTGGGCGAGGGGCAGACGCTGCAGCCGCGCAGGCGAAGCGGGCACGGCAAAAGCTGGGACGTGATGGCACGCACGCGCGCACGCACGCACGCACGCACGCCCCCCCAAACACACGCACAGACACAGACACAGACACAGACACAGACACAGACACAGACACAGACACAGACACAGACACAGACACAGACACAGACACAGACACACACACACAGAAACACACACACAGAAACACACAGAAACACACAGAAACACACACACACACTCGCACGCATACGCACGCGCACACACTCTTGGCGGCCGCGGCATCACGTGTCGTGGCGAGGCGGAGTCCACACATGCACACTTTCGGCGGTCGCGGCCTCGCGCGCAGCGACGAGGCCGAGTCCACTCACACGCACGCACACACACACACACACAAACACACACGTTCGCACGCACGCTCGCACGCGCGCTCGCGCGCACACACATGCACGCGCACACGCACGCACACACGCACACGCACACGCACGCGCACACGCACACGCACACGCACACGCACACGCAAAAGCACAATCACACGCACACGCACACGCACACGCACACGCACACGCACAGGCACAGGCACAGGCACAGGCACAGGCACAGGCACAGGCACAGGCACAGGCACACGCACACGCACACACTCACACTCACACTCGCACTCGCACTCGCACTCACACTCACACTCCCACGCACACTCACACTCACACACACACACACTCACACTCACACTCACACTCACACTCACACTCGCACTCGCACTCACACTCACACTCACACTCACCCTCACACTCACACTCACACTCACACTCGCACTCACACTCGCACTCAAGACTGTCTCAAACTCAGACTCAAACTCAGACTCACACTCACACCCCCACTCACACTCAAACTCGCATTCACACTCACACTCACACTCACACTCAAACTCACACTCACACTCACACTCGCACTCGCACTCGCACTCGCACTCACACTCACACTCACACCCCCACACCCACGCACACTCAAACTCACACCCACACTCGCACTCACACTCACACTCACACTCACACACACACACACTCACGCTCACGCTCGCGCTCACCTTACGCTCACGCTCGCGCTCACGCTCACGCTCACGCTCACGCTCACGCTCACGCTCACGCTCACGCTCATGCTCACGCTCACGCTCACGCTCACGCTCACGCCCACGCTCATGCTCACGCTCACGCTCACACTCACGCTCACGCTCACGCTCACGCTCACGCTCACGCTCACTCACGCTCACGCTCCGCTCACGCTCACGCACGCTCACGCTCACGCTCGCGCTCACGCTCACGCTCACGCACTCACGCTCACGCTCACGCTCACGCTCGCGCTCACGCTCACGCTCGCGCTCACGCTCACTCACGCTCACGCTCACGCTCACGCTTACGCTCTCGCTCACGCTCACGCTCACGCCCACGCCCACGCCAACGCCCACGCCCACGCTCACGCTCACGCTCACGCTCACGCTCACGCTCACGCTCACGCTCACGCTCACGCTCACACTCACGCTCACACTCACACCCACACTCACACTCACACTCGCACTCACACTCACACCCGCACTCACACTCGCACTCGCACTCGCACTCGCACTCACACTCTTACTCACACTCACACTCACTCTCACACTCACACTCACGCTCACGCTCACACTCACACTCACATTCACACTCACACTCACACTCACACTCACACTCCCCCTCATTCTCCCCCTCACACTCACACTCACACTCACATTCACACGCGCACGCAAACACACACACACACACGCTCACGCGCTATTTCACAACGGTCGAATGCACCATACTGCCTCGCCCGCCTCCTACGACACACACGATCCACAACGATACTTGGAACCTGGAACACACACGCACACACACACACACACGCACACACACACACACACGGCAAGGTTCGCAGGCGGAATACCTGGAAGCCACGCGCCGAATATACAGGGCTGGTGGCTTGACCCTCTTCTTCCCTCCTCCTCCCCCCCCTTGTCCTTCCCGCTATCTCCTATGCCCTCCCTATCTTTCTCCTCCCTCTTGCCCTTCCATCTTTCTTCTCTGCCCTCCTCTTTCTCCTTTGCCATCCCCCTTGCCCTTCCCTCTTTCTCCTCTGCCCTCCCTGTCTCGTGATCCTTCTCTCCCCCAAGCGTGCCGAAGGCAAGACCAGGAGGGGTCCCGTGCCGGGGCGTCGGGCCATGCGGACTCCTCCTCGACCTCCCCTCCCTCCCTCTATGAGAGGGGGGGGGGGCACGAGGAGCGAGGGGACCAGCACTGAGAGGAGGATCGACCCAGAATCGGCGATGCATCGCCGATGCCCCGACGATAGGCTCTCGAAAGCATTCCCTTTTCTTCCCGCCTCCTCCCTCCCCCTCCTCCGCCTCCGCCGCAAGGTTCTGGGGGGGGGCTATCGGGCCCCTCTCAGCGACTGATGGGCGAATCGGGGTCGATGCGTTCCCCCCTGAGCCTGTCCCATTCCAGGGCTGCCCCTGATGCTACTCCGCCAAGGGGGGAACCAGGCTTGCGTGTCCGTTCTGTGGGAGCCCATGTGGCCCCAGGCACTATCCGTTTTGGGTTTGATTTGGCCCATCGGCTTTAGGGCCAGATTTGGACCGGATTTGGACCGGGCTCGCTCCCTCACAGGGGAGACGAGAAGAACGAGGAGGGGGGAGCGACAGAAGGGAAAGGAGGAACAGGAAGAGGAGCCGAATGCGGTCCAAAGGGTGCCCCCATGCAAGCACAACGGATTCCGATGTCGCCGCCCCGGGCTCCCACGAACAGGCATCGAACCAAGGCGGCTCTCGGGCGTCACGCCCCTGTGGATGAATTCCTGGCCGCGAGGCCGAAGACGGCTTCAAACGGCGATGGCGGCCGCGGATGGATGGAGGCCTGGAAATGGGCACCAACACCAACACAGGGGGGGTGTCTCGACAGGGGGAAGATAATCCCAGATTTCGGTGTTGGTGGTAATATTTCGGCCACCTTGGAAGCCAGAATATTACCACCATCACCGAGATCGGGATCGTCTTCCCTCGGTGGAGGCACACCGCCGATCTTGGTGTTGGTGTCAACCTCTAGGCCTGCGAGGGTGGCGCGTCGCTTCAGAGCGGGGACTCCGCGCAGCGTGCGAGCGCACGCAGTGTGGTCGGGGAGGAGGCCCCGCGCAGCCGCGAGGCCTTCAGGTCTCCAGCAGGCCCCGCAGCCTCGCGCGCGCGCGGGGCCGCTTCTCTTCGGTCTTGCATGTCCTCCTGCAGACAGATTTTGGAGGACAAACATGAAAATAGCCCAACAACATTCGGAACTGATCGAAGATAGCACAGGACTGATTCAACAGTTCTTGAAGATTCCTCCTGTAGAGGGACATGCCCGACTGAACGCTACCCCTCACGAGCGGCAGACGTGTCCGTATCCGCGGGCTCGCGGCCCAGGGGATCCGCTGGCGACGCCGCGGCCACGGACAGATCGCCCCACGAGAGATGCGGGGGTCCTGGGTGGGCAGGGCGGGTCCTGGCTCCCGGGGGGTCTCCCCCCGAGGAGGAGGAGGAGGAGGAGGAGGACGAGGAGGAGGAGGGCCGCCCCTCCTCCTCCTCCTCCCCTCCTCCTCCTCCTCCTCCTCCTCCTCCTCCTCCTCCTCCTTCTTCCTCCTCCCCCCCCTCCTCCTCCTCCTCCTCCTCCTCCTCCTCCTTCTCCTCCTACTCCTCCCTTCCTCCTCCTCAGGGGAAGGAGGAGGAAATGGAGGACTATAATAAGATCAGGATGCGCCAACGAATATGCAATACACAGAACAATTTTCTTTGGGGGGCAACCCCCGTGAACCCAACGGGGCCCGCTCTTGGTGGGCCCTGGAAGCGACAAGGCTGTTTTTTTACTGGTTCCGTTCTGCTGTCGGTGTCGCCGGATCCATCGCCGTGTTCGTTGCCGGTCCCGTCGCCGTGTTCTTTGCCAATGGTTTGTTCCCGCTCCAACCCCGGGATCATTGTTGCTGCCGTTTCTGATCGCCTGTTTTTTATACCGTTTCTGGGTTCCAAGACACTTGTTCGAAAACGGTGAACAGAACGGCCCTGAGAACCGCTTCCCGTGGTCTCCGAGCGGTGCGGTGAGTCAACGGGGATTTGGGGTGACCGCACGGTTCGGGACTTGGGTCGTTCTCAGTTCTCAGAAACTGTCTCCAGAAACTGGGGCCTCCAAAGTCCCGAGGCCGTGCGGTGACGGACCGTCTGGAGATGTCCTGTGGCATTCCGGGGTCACCGCGCGGACTGTCACCAGACCATCTGGGGACCTCCAAGTCGCCATCGCTCGGACGTCCATTCCCCGTGCATTTGGTTCGTTTTCGCGCGTGGTTTCTTTGATCGGTGATCCAGGATGCTCCTCGATGATCCCCGCCGAGAGAAAAAAAAACGCACACTTGAGCAAGGGCCGACACTGCCGACATCCCGATCGTCCTACCACGAGATGTGTTTAGAACCCCAAGCATGGCTGGAAATATCCAGGCTCTCCAAACTTTCGTTTCGGTGGGCCTGTAGGCGGGCCAGGATGCTTCGCCACTGCTTGACACACATCCGAGCGATACCAATCCAAGGTGTTTGAGTAGGGCTGGGGGGCCAGCTCTGCAGAACACGCCCAAACGGACGTCAAGGGGCGCAACCTACCTGTTCGGTCAAGCTGACACCCGGCGTCAAGCCAAAACTTTGGACATCAGCGAATGTGCGGAGTTTGCACATCCTCGTCGGCTTAATCGGCGAGGCGTTTGACAGCCTTGACGTCACTTTTTTTGGTGGTCCTGCAGAGGAAGGCGCTTCCTGACCCTCGACCCTACTCAAGGTTTGCTTCCTGACGACCCGCCCCCGCCGCTGGCCACCGAACCGGCCGAAAACCCCCGCCCCGCCGCGCCAACCCCAGCAATGGCCAACACCGAGGCACGCACGCCCAGGAGCTGCAAACACACATCGCGGCGGGTATCGGAGAGATCTGGAGCAGGCAGCGCCCCAGCTGCTGGGAGAAAGTTCCTCTTCCTCCTCCTCCTCCTCCTCCTCCTCCTCCTCCTTCTCCCCATCCCTGCTCCTCCTGCTTCTCCTGCTCCTGCTCCTGCTCCTGCTCCTTCTCCTCCTCCTCCTCCTCCTCCTCCTCCTCCTCCTCCTCTTCCTCCCCCTCCTCCTCCCTCTCCTACCTGGGGTGGTGGTGGTGGTGGGAAATCGGCCCATCACGAGCAGCGCGCGAGGCCTCGAGCAGCGCTGCAGCACAGACTGCCGCAGGCTGTCCGGCATCGCCTCGAGCTTCGCCTGGAGCGCCTGGCAGCGCAGCGCGCCCGCCCGCCCCGGGAGCTCGCGCCTATCTCGACCGCGTGCCTCCCGACGCACCGAGACGACGGCAGTGCGGAGCGCCGTCGCCGTTCTCGACCCCCGTGTCGGGCGTTGGCAGAACTGGACTCAATGGAACCTGGTTTAAAATTGTTTGTGCCGGGGGCGCCCCCCCCCGTCCCATTGCCACTAACGGGAACTGCCGTCACCTGAAAAGCACCGGTTACGGCAAACCTGGTTCCCAGAGATCCGATGTCGTGATTTTTTCAATAGGGGGTCCCTGGAGGTCCCGACCCCTTCCCCAGGACCGGTTTTTCATCCCGAGTCGTTTTTTGACTGTCCCGAGGCCCGGTGAGGGCCCCTAAAAGCCGAAAATTGCAAAAAACGTCCGTCTTGATTTTTTCAATACGTTGGATCTCTGGGTTTAGCGAATCTGGCCAATTGAGGGGCCCCGGGGCCCTACCACATAACCGGGTCCCCTTACCCCGGGGTCCTGGCTATATACCCGACCTTGGCCGGCCCTCACCGCGGCTCGTGGGGAGCTGGGGACACCAAACGGTGCCATACCGCTATACTCCCCGGACCTCTCCCGGGGTGCGTTCGGACCAGACGCTCGAGGCGGATCCAGCCGTGGCGACGAGGGCCTCCCAGGAGGGCGAACCAATTCGGAAAACGGGCGAAGGGTAGCGGTACGGTAGAGGGAAACAATTACTGAACACTTCCCCTCCCCCCCAACCTCACTGTTGGCACGCGCAGGGGAGACTGCGGTCGAAGTGCATCTCATCAGACCCACCGCCAACTTTGAACATTGGGGGGAGGGGGAGCCGTTGACACACGAATGTGGCATGACGGTTCGCTAACTTGTTCCGAGGCCTGCATGGTTACCTGCATCCTCCTCCGAGAAGCCGGCCAGGAACCGCGTCGGGGTGAGACGCCGGCCCTCGGTGAGGAAGGGGCGGAGGCTTCAAGGGGACCCAGGGAATCGCATCTCCGACTACCTACCAGACCATCCCAACTCAGATCGAAGACCCGAATTGCGGGTGGGGGGGGGGGGGACGGGTTCCACATGTACTATTGTCTGGATGTGCTCCGACCCCCCCCCCCCCACTGGAAATGGAGGGCAAGTTGAGGCCTTCAGGTTGGGTTGGGGTGAATTTGTGGGTGGTGAGTCCTGGTGAATCTCTGGGGTGGGCGCGAAGGGGGCCACGGGGCGACCTTCCAAGCATGCGATGGGGTGTGGTGGCTGCTTGGAGGGCGCGAGGGCTTCCCGGAAGCCCTCTGGGCATCCACGAGGGCTGCTACAAGAAGCACCTGGTGCTCTGCTACGAAGGCCCCTGCCTTCCAACATGTTAGTCCCATCCATCTTACCCCCTCCTCCTCCGGCTGTCCCACTCCTCCGAGATGGAAGGTCTTCCTCAAATGTCCCCCCTCTTTCGATGCTCCGAGCTGTGGCCCTCGGCATTGCGAGGATTGGGGTGGACTTCCGGCTCAAGTTAGATCGGGCAGGTCCTCCTACAGGCGGATCTCCGAGGAAAAATGAAACAAACTAATGTTAAACAACTATTGTTTAACATATTCCTCCTGTAGAGGGACATGCCCGAAGTAAAGCTAAAGTCAGCGTTCCGAATATATGACTCCGCGGCACTCGCCCACCACGTGCCTGGCCAAGCGTATGCCGGATGGACAAGCCTTCGTAATCGCATGCAAGAGAGGTGGGGGTTGGTGGGGATGGGAGAAGGACGAGCAGGAGAAGGCAAGGGAAATGGGGAGGGCGATGGGGGGCACAAGGAAGGCGGGGATGGGAGGAGTGGTGGGAGAGGGAGAGCCAGGGGAAGAGAAGGGGAGGGGCAAGGCGTCTAGGGGCACACAGATGGGGAGAGGAGGGGGAGGGAAGGGGATGGAGGGGTAGGGGAAGATGGATTGAAGAGCTCAGGGGGCAGCGAAGAGTGTCGCAGCCAAGCATGGCGGCCCGCAATGGCGCTCTTCAGACGGACCTGTGTCCCGATGCGCTGACGGAACAGTGATCCTCAGTGAGCGTTTTTCGGGAACCACATCCTCCGATCGCTCGTCCATCGACCCATCGAGGGCAGCATAATCACACTCAGAATCAGAAGCAAAACCCTAAAGTAAACGAACATACGGAAGGAAGCGAGCAGGGAAAGACTGTACACCGAACGCAACCCACAACGAATTGAACGCGGCTATTGGTGGGGTTGGCGTGGTTTTCCTCCCTGGACTGTCAGCCACCCTCGCGAACCTGTCGATCGACGCTGCCCCGCACAGCAGCCCCCGCGCCCCCCCCCGCCCCACAGGAACCCACCCGACCCGGGCGCCGCTCGTCCGCCGCCGCCGCTCGTCCGGAGAGGAGATGGCAACTCCTTCGATCCTCGAAGGCAGGGCTCATTTTGGAACGCGCCACATGACCTGGCGCGCTGCGTTCCCCCCTCCCTCTCCGCGGATCTCCATTGCCAGGAAGCGCAATTAGCACGCATCAGATGAGGACGCACGAGAAGGCTGCAAGGGCCGTGCAGTGCCAGTTCGAAGCTTTTTTCGAGCTGGGCGCGGTCCATGGATGGACCGAGGAGGCAAGGATGCAAAGATACCCTTCGGAAGGTTGCCGATCCTTACTATGCGGGTTGACTGTACGGCGGGTGGTGCGGAAGAAGAGAAAAGACTCCATCCAAGCCGCGGGGAATGAAGAAGACGGACTCCTGCATCCGGGCATCTTCCTCGACGTCTGGGACGCCCACAGAAGACTTAAGTCATTCACCACCTCCCCATCATCTTACGACCCTACCCCTGCTGCTGCTCCTTCTTCTGGCCAACCCATCTTAATGATCAATCTTCCCCCTCGCTGTGTTCACCACCCGTCAACGTTTCCGTAACTTCCCCCTCCACGTCCTCCCGCTCGTCGTCGCCGTCGCCGTCGTCGTAACCCGTCTCCTTCTCTCATTGGCTCCAGACATCCGACGGCTCAGTAGATTAGAGCATCATCATGACGGCGCAAACTATGAGAGCGCATCAGACATCCGACTCCTTCGCTAGGATTGTCATCCTGATGCGCTTGGCGGCCCCAGAATGCCGAACATCGCCCAAAACCTCGAACCTCGACCCTGAAGCTCGATCCTCCTCCAGCCAGCTCGAGTCCACGCGATGGCGCGGTCGAACGAACCAGCCTCGAACTCACCCATACAACTAGTTCTGACAAACCCAAAAAATATGACAGTCTTGGGGATGTGGGACGGCCCCCCGCCCCCCAGTCCTTTATCGGCACCGATATCCGGTGATGCCCGCATTATAGCAATAAAGAGACCTGGTTTCTAGGTTTAGGTCGGGCATGTCCTCCTACAGGCGGCTTTCGGACGAGACATACAAATACCCCAAATATGCTCCAAAGATGCGAGAACCGATTCGACAAATCGTCCCCGGAATACTTTTGCACTATTTTTGAATGTTCCTCCTTAGAGGGACGTGCCAGACATACAGTCGAGGCGTTGACCTAAGGAACCCGAAATAAGGAACGAGGCCCTTTTTCCCATAAGTTCAACCTCGATTTCCCATGGAAAACCTCGGGAAAACCCGAGGCAAACTTTGAAACAATCAAGGAACACCGAACCCCTCCCCAACGAAACGGGTTCCTTCTGCAGCGCCCCGACTGTAAGGACAAAGACACGTTCCCTAGGTCACCCAGCTTCGCACACCGCGCCGCGCCACCGCGCGTTTGCCTCCGCGCCCTCGCGCCGCCACCTGGAGAAGGACACCTCGGCGACACAGGCCCTTCGACGCGAGGCGCGCGGGTGTCCTCGCGCCCCGTGGGGTGGCCCAGTTGGCGCAGCTCGTGCTCAATGGTGGATTTTAGAAGCCTTGTTTGCTTGTTGTAAAAAACACATGTTATCTTATGTTGCATCCTCAAGGGACCTTGTCTGTCCCGTCGCGGCCCTGTCCGCGTCGAATCCGTGTCGAATCCATGTCGGACGCGTCGGATCCGTGTCGAATCCGTGCCGAATCCGCGTGGAATCCACGCCAAATCGGCGTCGAGTCCGCATCGAGCACGCGACGGGCCCCCCAAAAAGACACCAATGTTTGGGACAGGCGAGGTCCCCCGAAGATGCAACAGAAGTCATCCTTTGGGAGGGCGTCTTCGCCTTCCGCCAACTTCCGCCAGCCCTTCCGCCGGCAAGACGCCCCCCGTTCTGCTGCTTCCGGAGGCCTTCCCGCCGGCCTCCGCCGCGACAGAGATGCCAGCTCCCCCGGCCCCTCGCTGGCGGGGCCCTTCCCCGGGCGCCGCAGACGGCCCCCCCGATCCCCCCCGGGCGCCTCCGCGCTCTGCAGCGCCTCCAGCGCCGCGGCGACGTCCTCGGCGGGAGGGAGCCGAGATGGGGAGAGGGGCGCGCTCGTGGCACAGTGGGGGCCTTGACCTAAGGAACCCAAAATAAGGAGCGAGGCCCCTTTTTCTCCCATAAGTTAAACGTCGATCTTCTGATCGAAAACACAAGGAACACCTGAGGCAAGCTGCGAAACACTCAAGGAACGCGGAGCCCCTCCCCAACGAAAAGGGTTCCTTCTTCAGGGCCCTGACTGTAGATCAATGTTCGCGACATGGCGAAGTGTGCCCGCGAGGTTACATGCACCTCCGCCCCCTCCCCACACCCCCTCCGCCAAGTTGGTACCCCCTGAACTTCCAAGATGGCGAACGCAAACAACATCAGGCTCCCAAGCGGCCCTCAAAATGCTATCCGCCCGATGCGGGCGCAGGCCCGTGAAATAGTGCAGCCGCAACTGGCGAGAACCGATCGACCTGGCAAGGTGGGGAGGCGGGGTGTCTACCAATTTCCGAAAGGGGAGGGGGAAGAGGAGGGAGAAGTGAGGGAGGGGGGGACGGACCACCACAAAGCCTGAGGCAGACCATCCATGATCTCCGGCCGCTCATTGTGCGGCTGCCTCCTTGGCCCGAACACGCTCGGCCAGGGCGCGTACATGATCGCTGCCGACTAAGCAAGCCCGCG